CCTCTGCTCACCCCCCCCACCCCGTTATTCAACAATGTCACACAGCAGTACGGGAAATTGCCGTTTTGATAGCGCAAGCCCCATGCAAGTGACCCCAAGTTTCTCTGAGTGGTGTTAGATGAAATATGTATTGGGGAGGGGGGGTGTTGGGGGGCGGGCGGGGAATTAAAATCCCAGTCAATACACAAAGTGCCTCCCCCAGGCTGATCTGCATTTACAGCGTGACCACGCTTGCGCTTAGAGTAACGGAGGAAAGGCATGTTTTACAGACAGGCTAAGAGAATTTTGGTATTTATGAAAGCGAGCAAGCGGCACGCAGCCAGCAGCACGGAGATTTTCGGCGTGGCTCAGCGTACCCCAGCCGACAGACAGCAGCCTTTTCCAAACCCCACTCCACCTCAGACAGCCCTCAAAGCACAGCTTTTCACCCTAACGGCACCTCAGTTCAAGCATCTCTGCTGACAAGCCGGCAGCAGGACAACTGCTTCTCCCCCGAAGCAGCGACCCGACCGCCTGACCGGGAATCGCAGATCTCATCCCTGCTAACTCAGTGCGAACGGATCTGAATCCGGGGCTAAAACAAAGGACGGGCCAGCTATCGCCCAGCTTACGTGTACCGAGATGTGCCATTAATCACAGCGACTTTCTTGAAGCAAGACTGCTTAGTCAGTAGGAAACCTCCTTAAAAAAAGAAAAGGAGCCTGATCTGGGTTCATTTTTCGGTATCTTCGCATTCTCCCTCCTCGCGGGGGTGAGGGGCAGCGACCCAGCAGCCTGCGCCGATCCGAGAGCCGCCGCAGCACTTCAGGCACTCTGGCTCCAAACTTTAGGAACATTTACACAACGCTGCGTTTCTGCTCCTTCATCTTCCCCAGTTCTGACCAGGATGGGGGAAGGCAGTATCCGGAGCTGCAGCGGGATGTTTCACGCACCGGCACACGCAGAGCTGGCAGGCAGAACTCTGCGCGCTCACGGCGGAGTCTTCCTCACCTGTATTAACATCACCAGTGCTGGAAACGATCCAAATATCTTATCAGCACTAAGTTTTATTAAAAAAATTAATACAGTCAAAATCCTAACGTCAAGACAGGTAATGCATCCTGAGTATTTCACCAGGCGCCTGTTCTCCAGGTAACCAAGACAGCTCACCTGGGAGTGACGGGAGAGGCAGGCACTGAGCACCCCGCTCGGAGCATTTCCAGGGGCAAACCCTTGTGCACAAGCTCCTTACGAAGGTCAGACGGAACAGACTAACAACCTTGATGAAAATGCACGATGTACCTTTCCAACAAAGCCCTCTCCTATTACAAATTCTCGAGGACGTCACATCTTGCACCCTGCCATTCCTTTACGAACTAGCAGCAGCCATTTCTTCGTGTAACCATCACCCCCTTTTCAGACACCGACAAACTTTACCGGGAAACGGCCCCAGCTTCCCCATGCCTTCCCTACTCGCACAGTCAAACAGCAACACCTTCGCTCTCCTTCGAGGAACGGTGCTGCTGCTCCGACAGCTGTTCTGCAAACCAGAAGCCGGTCCAAGTTTTTGGTGAAAATTCACAGCGTCTCGTTGCAGCGACGTAGGCTGGAAAGCAGCAACTGGGGACAGCAATTGCTAGAGAGGAGCACTTGCAGCACAGCTGGAAGAGCATGTTGTGAAGATCTACGTTAGTGGAAAGACCTTGGGACGAGACTGCAGTACGATTTTTACAGCTAAATCTGAAGATTGCCAGTGCAGGCTCAAGGTTTATGCACGCCGTAACAGAGAGATCTGGTTGCACAGTTCCCCTACCACAAGAGCGATTAAATCTTATTTATTGTAGATGAACCCTAAAACCAAGCTCCCTAAAATAGTTTTAACCCTTTCAGGAAATAGTACCAGAAAACAATTTGCTAACACAGATACAGAGAGACTTCAAGGAAAATTAACGTAGCACAGAGAAGGAGAGGACAAAAAGGATAAAATAATGAGCAGGATTTGTCTTTAAAAGCCTACTCTGCCTCTCCAGGAAAAGAGACGAAAACCAGTAATGTCAGAGACTTTTATAGGAATCAACTGGGTTGATGGGCCCTGTCTCCTACCCGTCAGAGGGCACCGAGAAGCAGGTGTACGGTTTAGGTGAGTCCCTGGCAGGACCCATGTCACACAGCAGACTGCAAAACTCTTCCCGAAGCAGCCTGAACTCCAGGTCTGTAGGAAAAGGTTAAAGCCAGACGGGTGCCCTGGAAGAGGAGGAGGAAGAGCACGCCTGAAGAGACCGGCTCCGGCAGGGACAGTGTCCTTGTTCCTGGGGAGGACGCGAGGGCTCCTCGCACGACGGGAGCAGGAAAGGGAAACCCAAACCCACCCGGGAGGAAAACTCCCTCCCGCCTGCAAAGCCTGCCATTTGCTTAACGCCCAGCACCGAGGACGGCATGCCAGTCATCTCATGAGACTCGACCACCACTGCTGAACAGCACCTCACCAGAACGCTCAGTGACCAGCCCTTCAGTCTGCTGGATTTATTGAGATCGCATCTTCAACCGATGCCACTAGACAAGAATAAATCAGCTGGATGTTTCAAAGTATCCAGGCTGTTTCAAGGATAACGTGTCACTTCTGAAGCTACTCCTGAAATCCCCACTTCTGATTCTCCACCATTAACAGCTGCAGGAACCGATCAACACGAACAGCAAACAGCTTCGCTTCAACTCAACTACACCTTTTATTTGAAAGGAGGAAGAGAAAGTAAGGATTACACAGTAAATTTTAAGTCTTATGGAAGGTTCTGCTTTTTATTACATGGAATGGCACAGCTCAGGGAGGAGCACCCAGGACCCAAGCAGCAAATACTCAGCTGTAAGTGCTATTGCTGTAACAGATTAACTACTAGGATCAATTCAAGAGGCAGTTCAGTATACCACATAAAACGCAGTCAACGCCTCAGACTGCAGGCCATTACGCTGGTCACCCTGCAGTCCTGTCAAAAGCTCCCCCACGCAGCTCCACTGTCCTCCGAGCACAGCGACAAACTGGAAAAACCCAAACCCTCCTGAATTCACAACCTATTTGTGCTGGCCTGGTCAACATCGCGTACGCTTGCGATGCCACTTGCGTGCTTTCCATTGGAAAAAGGGTCAAGAGAGCTTCTTGCCATCTTCCAAACCCTTCCTCCTTCAAAAGAGGGGAGCAGCAAGACCAACAACACGAACCTGGGTTAGCCCAGCCAGTGTCTTTCCCAGCAGGGGTGCGTAGGGTAGCGCGACACGCAGCCCGTCCCCCGGCAAAGGGCTGGGGATGCTGCAGCGATCACCTGCTTGCTTGCTTTTGCCACTGCAGGGAAAAGTTACGGAAGAGGAAAAAAACTCACAAAGTTCCAGTTTAAGGCTTGGGAAATAAATTACTTTGTGCTGATTTTCCCAGATGT